GCCTTCCTGCATCTCAGGGAAGACTTCTGGGAGCAAAAATGTCCCCCTGGAGGCTTTCCTGAGGCCCAGGAGGCAAAATCACCTGGAGGGGGGCTGCAAAAAAAAGAAGAAGCCATGTTCACCCAGTCACATGGCCATGCCCACCTAGCCATGCCTACCTAGCCACGCCCACAGAACCGTTTGTTTAAAAATTCAAATCCCACCCCTGGCTATCTGTACAATTTTTCAAATATTTATTTATTTAATTATTACAATGGCTCAGTTTCCTATTCTGCTCAACCAAGAGAACTTTTTATCTAATCTACTTGTCAAAGTCACTCCTTATCAAGGTGGAAAGATGGGATGACATACTGGCACTTTGGAATGCAAATTTCTGCAACTTTGATGCAGAAATTATTTATAATCTGAAATATTAATTCAGGATGCTGTTGGAAACATTAAACTACTTTCAACCTGTTTCTATATGTGACCAATTTTAATGCATTAGGTTCTTGTTGTAAATAACATTCTTTTATAAACCTTTATTTAAAAAGTTGGTACCTTTTATTTATGCCAATGTAAGTCCTGTAAAAATGGGCAATGATTTGTTTTCATGATTTATGTTTTTAAGTACATACTGGTAGTGTCATGCCCTTGTTGGAGTCCGATTCTGAGGGGGAGATTGAGCAGCTGACAGGGAGTGGGAGTGTGGATCCGGTATCTGTGGAAGAAATGGGGGAAGGACACAATCTGACTGGGTATTCAGAGGAAGACCCAGGGCCATCCCCCCTCATCCTAGGGCATGCAGGGAGGAACGGAGAAGGGAGCAACGTGGCTTATAGGAGAGGAAAGGGCCCTGATCCCCTTCATGGGCTGCAGCTGGGAAGACTGTTTAAAAGGGCAACCTGCTCAAAGTTGCTGGAAGCAAAGCATGCATTATCTTTGTCGAGGCTTGTCTGGGTTTTGGCATCCTCCCAACTGTGTGTGCCTAGTTTATCTTTTGGAAGTCTGCAATTCTTTTGGAAGTCTGCAATTTATTATCCTGACATGTCATGTTAATTACTTCAGCGTGGTTTGTGTTTTTTTTTTTTTATTATTATCTTTACTTTGGGTTCGGACTGTTTTTCTTCCCTTCGTAGACTGTTTTTGGAAGAATTTGATTTCCAGCTGAAGATAACTGGACATTGGGGGCCAAGTTGGAGGCATTAAAGGGAATTTATCTACTTTGGTGACTTTGTTATTTTTGTGCCACACCCTGGGTCATCATAGGTAGTGAAGAGAGGAATACTAGCAATAGCAACAGCACTTAGACTTATATACCACTTCACAGTGCTTTACAGCCCTCTCTAAGTAGTTTAGAGAGTCAGCATATTGCTCCCAACAATTTGGGTCCTCACTTTACACCTCAGAAGGATGGAAGGCTGAGTTAACCTTGGACCTGGTGAGATTTGAACTGCCAAATTACTAGTTCCCCCATAGCACAGAATAATGTTTAAATAATTATTAGTTAAGCAATAATGATTTAGTGAATAACATTAGGATGTAATATAAACAACAAGCACAAACTATAGGAAGTCTTAGACTTACAACCAAGTTTCAGCTAAGAACACGACTAGACTTTGTTTTATGACTGTTTTTAGGATGTGGTCAAGTCAGGTTGTCGAAAGTCCAAATCCAGCTTATCCGATGGACATTTTTTGCCAGAAAGTGGCAAAAAATATTGCAAAATACAATCATGTGTTTGCAACTGGTTTTAAATATGAGCCTGTTGCCAAGAGCCTGAAATGTAATCATGTGACTGTGGTAGTAATGGGACAGTTGTAGCTTTGATAATGGGTTGTAAGTAACTATTTTTTCAATCCTTTAAGCAATCAATTGTAAGTTGAGGACAATCTGTTTACAAATTATACTTATCATTGATAAATAAACTTAGTCAAAGTTTGCTAACTATATGGGTGAACTAAAGCAAAATTCCACAGGATGTTGTATATTTCCACCACAGTTTCACCAGCTCGAGACAATATATAATAGTAGTTTTGATACTTAATTATCTTAGCATTGTGACAGTAGGGTTGCATTGTATCAGACATTTTTATAGAAACATACTTATGGGTTTTTGGTTGGTTGGTTGGTTGGCTGGCTGGTTGGTGTTTTTTTGCAGATAAACTTTGTTTTATTCTTTTACAATATAAGATGGATCATATTTGTTTTAGGGCTATGCAATATTATCAAATTAGGCACAATAGAACAGATCCACCCATATACATACATACAAGAACTTCCTGTACATTTAGATAAGTGTGAAATATACAATAGTTTCAATAAAGATAGCATATTTCATTATAATTGTCTCCTCATAATTTACATTTGTAAGCAACTCATTCATAACATTAATACGAGGTCTTTAAATCACTGAGTGATTGAAACCATACAATTTATCTTTCCATTGTTTGAGGACAAATCTTTTAGAAGAGTGGCATGGAGCGTTTATTTTCCTTGTTCAGATGTCAATTTCCATTTATAAGATAATAGTTCAAAAGAATTTGGACATCCAAAAATATTAAATCTCATTTCAAAGTTAATTTAATAAAAGTAATGATTCCCTTTCAGAAGAAAACAATTCTTTGACATGACAAAGATACATTTTAATGAAGCATTTATGCTCATTTCATCTCCACCACAGTGATTTATGATTTTTTGTGCAAAATAATGAAGGCCAGTATCCAAAATACATTATATTGTTGCTGTTGAATGAACCATAGTGTAAGATCTATTGAATTTTTTTACATAAATATTAAGACAGTTTTCTGTTGTTCATATAAAATGGGGATCTTCAATTCTTTGTCCCATTCATCTTCAAATATTTTTATATCAGACTAATTTCTCAATAAGTGCTATTTATAAAGACTAATTGTGGACTTTATTGTCTGAAGAGTTAAAAATCACTTCTAATAATTCAGGTGTTTCTGAAGCTAATAACATTGTTTATCTAAATTCAGATGTAGGTATATGTTATAGTTATGAATACAGTACTGCCTATAGTTAACGATAGATAAATGATATTTATCTTTTACCATAGGAAGAGATAAAACACATTTAGATCTGGATTTAGCACAAGAAAAAAATCAAAATGCAATTTTCCAGGTATATCACAATTTTGGAACCATTGCAACAGTATTCAAAAATAATACTGGACCATGATTTTTTCCAAAAGTTTTTCTTCCTTGGTGCATTACCTAGAAATCGTGAGAAATATTAAATTAACTTTTAATGAATATAATGTATTTAATCATGTAAAGGTTCTGACAAGGTACATGGCTTCAACAAGGCTAAAAGTGTTTTGCTGCTCCTTTTTGTTTGTACTCTTGTTGCAATGTCCAACAATTAGTCAGTCAGCATTGATGGATTCCAGTTGCCCTGATATCATTTTTTCATTGTGGCAATGTTTGGAGAAACCTGAAAGATCACCATATTATTTCATTGATCGATAATGGATTTCATGTGTCTAAATCAAAGTAGGCTATCAAAACTAAACCAAATTTCTACATTCAAATTGGTTGAAATCTATTTGAAGACTTGTATGTATGCAAAATTATAAAAAACAGAATAATTACAAAAAGATAAAACAGAACCACACTCTTAAATGTTTCATTTTCATGTCATGATTGCCTTGGCTCTGCTAATTCCTGGACAATATGTTTTATATTATTTGTTTATTTATTCAATTTACATAGCCACACATCTCAAACATATTCTTTGGGTGGTTAACAAGGAATAAAAGAATAAATAAACCAGGAAGCCAATAATTTAGACTTGGCTCTGTAAAATGCAGTCATCTATCATTTACACTGACCGCTAACCTTCCTGACATTACAGCCTTTCTAGAGAGATTTTATAAATTGCAGCTGTGCCACACTAGAAGATTTAGTGTTTTAGGATTGTATTCTATTAGAAATCAAGAGAACACCAAATCTACAAAGTAAACTGTATTCTGCCTGTATTCTGTATTAATGGCAGGCAATGAGATCTCATAGCATCAAATAGCATCAATTCATATTCAAATAATTTATTCATGAAAATGCTTGAATGACATAATGCAGCCATAATAAACTTAACTTTCTGTCTTTGGAAGATTTATCTTAAAACTTAGATTTATCTTTACTGGATTGTGAAGATAAATCTCAGTTTTAAGATAAATCTTTCGAAGACAGAAAATTGACATTGGCATTCAAATACCTCTTTAGCTGCTATTGAAATTGCTTTTCTTGTTTGTGAGTTGAATTCTTTGTCAGTTTAAAATATCAGGGAGAACTAGGATAGTCTCAGTGGTAAAAGCTATCATAATGATAATAGTTGATTTCTATTTTCTATTTTTATTTTCAAAAGCTGCATCACACAATAAACAAATTGCAGGAACTGGTTGGAACTATTTGTTACCCAAGTACATATATCTTAGTGGTTGGACACAGCTGAGTATAATCTGTTGTTTGGAAATTTTTCTTTCTTGGTCATAAGAAGCCAGTAAGCATTTGGCAGAATTCTGATTGGACAAGAGTTAATCAGTGATACTGGACATATGGAGTAGAAATAAACTCCATCTATCTCCTTTTCTTCTCATAACAAAGTCTTTTTTTCTCTAACCTATCAGTTAGGTTCCAAAGAGTATCAGCTGCTGCATACAGGAAATGAAAGGTTGATTTGTGTAAAGTCTCCAGAGCATGGGCATGACCTTTACTTAATAATTATTGCTAACCTCTTTTAAATATGTACTAGACAATTGAATACTCATTTCAGGAATTAGATATTGTGATGCATAGATGGAGATTGAAGATGGAATTATCTTTGGAAATCTCTGGGAACTTTCTGCGAGAGTAGGTGGATATAATTATATAGATACATAGTATGTAATAGATATCTTTTGTGCTTGGTATATATAGATGCAAATACCTATTGTATGTGTTTTCCTTGTGTGCATATGCCTAGTAACTAAGTCTTAATTATGTGTATTTTTCCCTTTGCAGATAAGACATGGATGCATACTCCTGAAGCTTTATCAAAGCACTATATTCCTTACAATGCAAAGGTGAGGTGTGTGTCTGCTACTTGTTTCTACTAACTTGATAGCTAGCAATTGTTTAAATCAGATTGTTATTGTAATTACTAAAGACTTCATTCTTTCAGGAGGTAATTTGTTGGGTTCTTATGGTAAAGGAAGAAAAACAAAGTGCAAGTGGTGTCTCTCTTTTTCCTTTAAACAATAAAAGAATATTGTTAATAATTCTTTGTGAATAAAAGAAAAAGGTTGAGGTAGCTCTCATCCGAGTTTGGACTGATGATTTTTGAAATTAGACTGAAGGCCACATTTATTTTTGGGACCAGGAACTATCTATTCATAATATTCAGACATTTTTTCATTTTCTTTCATAAGATATGGAGTCCTTGGTGCTCTCTGAGTTTGGTTGTTTACTTGCAAACATTTCATTACCCAATGAGGTAACATCATCAGTGCTAGAAGGGAGTGGAGTTTGCTCTGTTTATATACAAGTGGCTTGCCCTATCAGTTTTCGTGGGAGTGGTCTGGGTAGTTCCTTGTTGTTTACTGTTTGATTGTTTGTCTGTGTTGGTAGTCCCTTAATTGGGGTGTTGTTTACTGCTTGAGTGTTAATCTAATATTAATCTTGGTATTAATCTCTGCTTATCTGGGTGTTGATTGCTGGCAAGGAGGTATAATGGGGTTTTTGTTTTCTTATTAGCTTTTTGACTGTCACTTTTGAATGGTATGTAGATGTTATTTATCCCTATGTGGCCATTTGATGTCAGATTTGTCCAAGTGCCACCTGAAAGGTTTGGTTTGAGTGGCTTGGTCAAGGATGCTCACAGTTTCCCAGTTGAAACTATGATTAAGTCTGATCATGTGTTGTGCAATTAAGGAGTTTTTTAGCATCTCTTTTGACTGCTAGTTGCTGTTCATGGATGTGCTCAGCTAATTTCCTGCTCGTCTGTCTTACATAGTGGTTGTCACAGTCTTTAGACTGTGTGTTGTAGATGATTCCTGTGTTTTGTTCTAGGCTACTGAGTGTTTTGGTTTACTTAAGATATTTTGTTGGTATGTGTGCTATAGTACTGACATGCAGTTATAATAGTCTGTCAGTGGTTTCTGAAATGTTTTAATGTATGGCAGTATTATTCAGCTTGTATTAGTTGTGCAGTATAGTGTTAATGACTAGGCACTTTTAATAGAGGCATGTGTATCTATTTTGCTGGAAAATGTATAGATGATTGTTTCTCTGATGTTGAGGATTGCTGCAGTATGTTTTTGCTAGTCTAAATAATGTTCTTGCACAGCTTCTCTTGGGGAAGTTTTGGTTGTTACTATGGTAGTGGAGCACTTGGTTGGTGTGGATGCTTTTATAATGTACTTATGTTTCTAATTTGCCATCATTGCTTCTGCTGATGAGGATATCAAGGGAGAGTACTGTTGTTTCTCCAAGGGAATTTTATTCCCTTGAATATGCAGTTGATAGATTCATGTTCTTCTCTTTTGTAAGAATTACTAGTCCTCCTTTGACCCAGCCCTTCCTATTGCCTATCCAAATGGCAGAATGAGCAATAGTTTGCTCTTTCATAGCATATAAATAATTACTTTGCTCAAAATCATTGGACAGGAGAAGGTTTAATTACCAACCTTTCCATTGTAGTTCTTTCCATACAATCAATAGTTTTCTTACTATTAATAGGAAAAAGTTCTATTGATCAGGATTATGGGAGTGGAGGCAGAACTTCAATTTCCTTTTTTGTTGCTGTTTGAAGCACATAAATAACTCTCATAATCAAAATTTGAGAAACAAGGAAGCTTCAATTACCCATCAAAGAGTCCATTAGAATACAGAACAAAAACTTTCAAGACTATTTGTTAGCTGGAAGAAAGTGCAGTCTCCCCATTTGCATGAGTGAAATTAACTTTCTCCTTTACAGCAGGGAGAATGTCTTCAAAAGCCAGCTTTTAAAGATTCATTTCCAGTCTCTTTCTCCTTGTATGCTAGTTTGGATAGGAAAATGTCATGCATATATAATCTTTATGGACCTTTAGCTGATTATGTTGGAAATGGTAAAAAATAATGCAATAAATAAAAACATGCATGACAGTAAATAAAATATATTAGCACTGTAATACTACATGTTTGAAGATTAAGAAAAAAATCTCATTGACTGCATTTTCTGTGGTCCACATCATGAATATTAATTAATATCAATAGAAACCTGCATATACTGTAGATCTATAAACTGATAGCTAATCACAGATATAGGATCAGCTAACAAGCTTGAAATCGCAAGAGTTCACAGAACTCTTCCTAAATTTGATTATTTCAATAACATGATATTTATACAATATTAAAATTATTAATATTGTGTTGTTTAAATAACCTGGAGTTTTGGAAATAAAGGGGAAAGAAATATTGTATCAATATTATTTACAATTTAAGATATTGATTCAAATATTTGACTTTTTTTAATACAAAAGTGATTTGAGTGTGGCTGTTGACCAAGTGGGTGACCACAAGCTGAACATTGTGAGTGCATGTATGGTCTTGTTAAATTTTCTTGTTGATTTTTTTCTGAGACTATACCTAGTAAGAAAAGTTATGGTTTCATTTCAAATTTTAATTCCAAAATATTTTGCATTGTATTATATTTATCTTTCCACATGTGATAAAACGTTCCTTCTCTTTCATGGCACATCCAACATTTGTTATGTTAAATGTTTATAGAGTTGCATACATCTGTTGAACATTTTGTACCAATTTTCCTTTAGGTTATAACTTGTTGTATGTTTTACAGATTTGGTTCACAATTCTTCCCATTGTTGTGCTCTGTTTTTTAAAACATTTTTATCCATTGTATAATATGGCTTTTCCTTTCTTCTGTCTCTGCATCAGGTCTAAGTAAAATTTTGTATCTATATCCTCACAGTGATGTATGATTCTTTTTTTTTTCTTCAAACCCTTCTTCTTTTTTGGAGATATGAGGGGAAAATATGACAATATTTCATCTTTATCCACATAAAAAGTTCACATTTTGTGAGTCACTGAAATCAATCAGAAATAGTATTACAGCAAAAAGAGCAACTATTTTGCTATGGGGTACTGGATCAGGTACTGAGTGCAACACTTCTCCAGATCCAAGAGAATTAAACTACAATTTTAAATTCATCAAACAGAGAATTTCATTTCATGTGTAACATGCCTTTTCAAAACTACCAGTCCTCAAATTCACGATTTCTATTCAGGAGAGAAGAACAAATGAATAGGATAGAGCACTGTAATTAATTTAGGATCATAGGAACCTTAGGTATAACTTCAGGAATATAGAAACACAGTGTCCAAATTAAATACAAAGCTAAAATTTATAATTTATGAAAGTGCATGTTTCATATGTAATCACGATCTGTTTCTGCGAAGTACACGTTATAAATTTATATTGAGCCCCAAAATAGTTGGTTAGCTTCTGATTTAATCAACCTATTATACTAACAATCTTCTTGGTTTTTTAAAAAAAGAATAGAAATCTGTTTTTTATAGAAAATTGGTTACAGGCAAACAACATCTGGTACTTGGAAAGCACTTATAAATAAAGCTGCAATTATTTTGGCAGACATGAGCACAGTATACACTATGATGAAAGGGAGATTGGATGGCAAGAACAATGTTAATGTACAATGAACATTCATTGGATGTTTTGCTGCCAAAGTAAAATGTAGTCATGAAGCTTAATTAATTTTGAAGCTTAATAAAATTTATTCATTGGACAACTGTGCCATTTCAAACATAAGAGATAGAAGTAAGTATTTGAATGCATTGCTACATAAAATTCCTATTACTACTCATGTGCAAGAAACAGTCCAATCCGGTTCAGGGCCCTAGTCTGGATCTCCAGAAATAGCTCACTTTGGTCAGGTCACTTTGAAGATGTGTTGTGAAGCCCTGACATGATAATGAACTTTGAAGTAAGGTAATGAAGAACAAAGAGCTTGATATTACACAGGGGATATGGATGCAGAATAGTTGAAAACTTGTTTTCTTATTTTTCAGCAAGTTATAGGATGAACATTAAGAGAAAAGGAGATCTCTATATGAATAAGGAGTGCAAACATTTTTAGAAGCAGTATGCAGGGAACAGAATTTGGAGAAATTTGCAGTGATAGTAGTTCCTAAGAGAAATAAGATCCATATGTTTTAGACAGACAGATTGAGTTTTTATTGCAAAGGAAACAATTGTTTTCACAAAGAATTGTTTCTTTGCATAAAGACTCCTCAATATTGTGCTGAAATATACTGTATATTGGAAAGAGAATGAGATGGAAATATAAATGATTATGGTACCTTTTTTATAATGTACAAATGTTAATAGGTTAGATTAGCTAATAAATACAGCATACATTCATGAGTGACAAACAGCCAAAAAAGTATGGATGTAGGTATTAGCCACAAAGATTTCTCCGTATTCTAATCTGCCATGATTGGTCATTCAACAATCACCCAGTCATTCTGATTCTGTGTTTGTCTAATATGTTCCTTTCTCACAATAACATTTAGTATAAATTGCTAATGACATATTTCTTCTTTTTGGTGAATTGGTTGTAGCTTCATTCTTTGCAAAGTGCTAGAGCATTTCATAAACAAAGACTAGCTCTCACTGAGGTCCAGAATCAGAATATATGGTCAAGACCAGCAATTTTTCCATGGAAATATGGAAATCTGTTCCAAATTCTGTCTTTCCATTTTAGGGGCAAAGCTAAGGTTGAGTATTTTGGGAATAATCTATTTGAGTATCTATCTCCTGATTTACAATGGGATAGAGATGCTAATGTATGATTCAAATGCTTCAGAAGAGCCAATTTTTAGTAGGATATGGGTAAGGCATCACACTAAAGCTAGGAAGTATAATCTCTAGTTCCACTTTAGGCATGAAGCCAGTTTGGGGCCTCTTAAGGTTACTCTCTCAGAGTCCTAGGAAGTGGACACTGGCCAACCGTATCTGAAAAAGAAAAAGAAAAAAAGATCACAGCAGGACTACTACTCTAGT